GCCCCTGCGCTCAGACGCGTTTGTATGGCGAAGTGCGACGACGCCATCGTAAGCAATCGCATAGAACAGTTCCAAAAACAGGACATAAAGAGTAGGATGGTACGGAACAGTTAAGAGATTGAAGAGAACAGAACAGAGCCAGATATATTTTCACAAAGCGGAGATTCCTCTCGATTAAACGGTGTCGAAATATGCAAATGTTTGTGGGCAAAACTGAGAAGCAAGGACTCTGCAATATTGTAATGGAGCGCTTCTTTAAGAATTTTCACTGACACACCTTCAGAAAATTGAGGATATCTGAGTAGCGTGGCATATTCGATCGGACATATTGTATATTTTTTGAAGCCTGAGATTATTCTCGATTAAACGGTATCGAAATATGCACATATTTGAGGGCAAAACTGAGATATGACACATGTCGTCACGAAATACAATCATCTCACATAGCCTTGCATCCACTTAAACTAATTATTCTTAAACTGATTATTTCGAATTACAATTAAAATGCTATTTATATGAATGACCAAAAACAAAGTATCCATTTGATGTAATTCTGACTAAACTTTGTAGTAAATTCCAGTAATTGATAAGGTTGTTTAGCTACGATAAAAGTGAGTAATCAAAAACGATGATTTAAAATATATCAAGAAATAATTTCATTCCAGTAACACCAATAGAAGCAGTCACCGAAGCGTAAACTACCATATCAGTGGAATGACACATTCACTAAGAACAATAATTAATAACAATGAAATAAAAGGAATGAATACAATACAATCATGAGAATGATATCAATAGAACGATATCTCAAGAAATATCTCCACGGGAATCGAGTGGTTCTGTTCAGTTGAATAACTAGGCCACTAAGAACCACATATACGATAAATTTATTTCATTGTGATGAATTCCAACTAATTTTATATGAGATACTCTTCGATTAATTCCACATCAAATGCATCTCGAATGGTGGATAAATCTGATTGATTACTTTCCATTACAAAGAAAAATTCTCGCGGATTATAATCTTGCGCGCATAGAAATGATTCATTCAGTTTATCCATTCCTCCACGTTCACTTCATTCTGTCACGAAACCTTCGATTCACTCAATAATGCACAAAGTACAGCATCGACTTCTGAACTGCATTTTAGTTTACTTGATTTTCGGACGAGTAAATTCACTGTCTCCAACCGATTTCAATTTCCGTTACGATCATGCGGGTTTCGTGATCGCTGTTCCGAAAGGAGTCACTCTCAGTGGGTTTTTGTTGAACATCTTTCGAAAGTTTCTCTTTTGATGTCAACTTTTCGGTCTCATTTTTTCAGTCTTTTATGAAGAGTATTCACGGATGTTTCGTTTTTGAGAGTTCATCCGCCAATTGAAAATACATCAAGAAATAATCTCATTCCAGTAACACCAATAAAAGCAACTTCCGTTTTTTACAATTCGTCAACAATTGGTTTCTGGACGGGTCTTGCGAGTGGAACGATTAATTTTACGCAGGTTGATCGATTCATCGCGATATTTTCTGAGTGCATCAAGCAGTTTCACGGTTCATTTCTTTGCTTTCGAAAATATTCACTGCAACATATGAATTTTTGTGTGAAATTGAATTAAACTGTACGAGTGATGATTATACGTTCGTTTCAACAGGCCAATTTTCCCAGTCATCCGGCCACAGTGGTTGACGTCGAGCTAAAGATTCCGGGTTCACTACAAGATCGAACTTTCGCGATCGACATTTTATATGAGGGCAGTTTGGATGCGCGGTATTGTGAAGATGCGGAACGATTCGTCGAAATCCATCGATTTTTGGTCAATAATTTATCTGATTACTCGTTCATCTCGTTCTTTATCGAATACAAAACAATTTCAGTTACCAGCTCGTAAAAACTTCTACTTCAAATCGTTCAAAAGGCGTGATATCAGCATTATTGACGAATATGAGAGTATCGTGGGACGAGCCATAAGGATCATTTGTTTGGATTGTCACTTCAGAAGTGAGAAGAATGGAGGGTGTTCTTTGATTGGCAGAAGTGGTTAGTTATTATTATTATTATTAGTAGTAGTATCAGATATTGTTACCACTCAATCTTCAGAAGATGATGTATATGTGGAACAGGATGAAATACAGCCAAACAATTTGCCCTATTTCCCGATGGAATTACCGCCGGGTGCAAAACTGCTTGTACGCGATTTATATCAGAATAGCGATTGGTCACGCAATTCAGCGAATTATAATTAAGCATCTTTATTATAATAATCGTAACTAAATATATACTGATGCTTTTACCCAACGTTGTTTAGTTATGTATCATCCATCTGTATTATCAATATGATCACTGTTATCTCTGGTTCCATTATCATATGATCACTGTAATATCAATTACGATCTGTCAGAAGGGCCTGCAACTCGCCCAATAATACCACACGCGATCGCTTTCCCGACGTTTCCATCGAATCTGCTCTCGATGGTATTCATGTCGCCTCCATCGTCCCTATTCTCGAATATCACCACCCCCCTACCAATCACGCTATTTCTACCGAACAACGTCACATACCGGTTATTTGCATCCTCGTACTGAAACATTCAATCGTTTCAACAACATTTCATGTATTCCACAAATACAAATCACTTCAATTCAACAATCTAATAAAGTTTCACGAACCATTCCATCGATGATATTCCCTAAAGTACCGACTCGATGCATTGGCTTGTTAAATGAAACGTGCTTAGAAATGCGGTCTGGATTGAAAGTATAACCCATACTTTCGCATCCATTTTGCATGTTACCCCAATCCGCTATCGCTATTCCGTGCTCACCAGGTATTCCTGATTGATTAATGATATTATTATTAGGATTACGTGACATTTGACTATTCTTATCAATTTTATTACATTATATTACTGTTATGGTTACGGTAATTGTTCAAATAAATTCCTAAACTCACCAGTGATATTCGCATGAATCAAGCAATGACGGCTTGGTGTGAACTTTTGTTCGAACCAAATAAATCCTTTGATATCACCTCGTGCACTTCGAATTTGAGCTATTGCATAGCGACTCTCTTCTGTGAACAGGATATTGTGAATTACAGAATATTATGCAATACTGTGAAATACTGCATAATAGCTGTAAAATTACAGCGAATCCACAGTGGTTCTATGATAGATTAGACTGTGGAAGAAAGGAATGGCACGATGGGGATTCGTGAGGTTTTTAAAGTGTGAACAAAATTGAAGACGTGGGATATTGTTTGCGTATGTTTTAAGAAAGGGAATTTTTATTTGGAATAAAGATGAGAGAATTTTGGTTACTAACCGTTTGGCGAGGTATCTAATCCCTCACCGAATAAGCATCTCGTGAGAATATAAAACACATAAACAGCGAATAACATTTTGATAGAATCTGGGGCGTTTGAATGGTATTTGAGTGGGGGTTCGTGGAGAAAGAAAGGTGCGTTTTATTGTGAGGATATTTATGGAAGTGCAGAGATGTTCATTGAAGATAAAATTGATGGGGTGAACGTTAACATCAAACAAAGATAACGATTTATTGAGATTTCATTGCGATGGTGTCACTTTTGGAAGATTTATTTAGTGAATTATTTATACAACGCAAATCGTTTAGTTTATCTGATAGATGAAGATAGGTGAACGTTTTTGTGGTTGTTTGAAGTTATCATTCTGACCTGGTTTTCGCGGTTTGTACACGAGAGTGCATTCACCTTTCGCTGAAATATTGTCACTTCTTTCGTGCAATTCAAAATTCCTAGTGAAAAAGCTGATACCATGCATCTTTTTTGAGAGAAAATCCAGATTTATTTATGATTACAAGTGGGGAATGTAGGTTGTGAAGCAATTCATAAGTAATGACAGTTTGCATGAAGCAATTAGGAATTCATTTTACTACTTTTCCTTAATACGTATCGTTTAATAGATATCATTTTCTGTTCAAATTATCAAAAACATCCAG